TTTTTTGATTTTGCTGGATACGACAGAAGCTCGTACCCCTATGATCTTCTTTTTGCACTTGGCACAGTTCGGAGCGTATCGGTTATCGTGGCACTTGGTACAATAGACGGCTCCCCTTTCTTCAAAGAAGCCCCCCTCCTCCAGGACCGCCTTACACTGCGAGCATGTAAACTCTTCCGGGTGCCAAGACCGTCCCAGTGCCACCAGGTACCGTCCCCTGGAGAAAAGAAAAAGAAAAAAAAAAAAACCCTAAGAAAAAAAAAAAAAGGAATTTTTTTTTTAAATATAAATTGGCTAAATAATCCAAAGCTTCAACAGAGGAGTGAAAAAAGATCCAAAGGCACTCAGCAAAAATACACTAGACTGTGTGAAATGTGAGCAAACGCTGAAGACAAATTTTAGGTTTTCCAGAATTTGAATTTGAGTCTTCACTCAAAAATTAATGAATAAAAGCTCTTTGTTTGCAATGGTGACCAGAATATCAACCAGAGTTTCTTTGTTATTCTGAGTGATAACAAGATGTCTCCACACTCTGTGAAATATGCTGACTGGCTTAATTTGCTGCAGACAGGCAGTGTGTCGTGAATATTAAGAGTCTTAAATTGTCATCTCTAACAGGAGCCTCCAAGGAGCAAACACAGAGCGCCTCGCTCGAGTTAAAAAGAATCAGCCTGTGTATAGCGGCGGTGCAGCCTCACCTGATGATTTTGTTGCAGGCACCACATATGGGGGTCCTCCCGCTGTCTTCCGGCGCCTGCTGTGCAGCCTGCAGGATGGAACTGCGGCTCTGCATAGGCGTGGGCTGGGCTGGCTTCTGGTGCTGGGTCACGACGGTGCTGACCTTGTCTGGGCGAAAGCGGTCGGCAAAATTGGGGTCCGAGACCCACGGCGGTCGGCAGGAAGGAGCAGAACTCTTTGGTGCGGCACTTGTCGATTCTGCACATCACACACACACACACACACACAAAAAAAAATCCCATAACAATCCACCCTTCAAACAGATGTCTGTGGTGACAGCTTTGAGTGTCGCGTTGTTGCTGCTGTATTGACACTTAAGACTTAGAATCTATTAGCGCAGCCTCTCCCGGAGGCTGCTGGGGCTCTTTTTAACGCATCAGCAGGAGAAGAAACTCACCATCTGGTTTATTTGCTGCTTGGGCCTTGGCAGGTGAGGGAGTTGGCTCAAGGCTGTGGGGAGAAAATGACTAATTAGAAAAGGTAGGCGCACGCATGTGCACACACACACACACGCACGCACACGCACGCACACGCACACACAGTAACTATAGTTACTTCTCAATGGATGCCATGTTTGGATATCTCCTGCCATGGCTGAGCTGTCACCATTATGCTGTGCCACGGATTACCTTGTGTGTGAATGATTCGAAGCACCATTATTAATATTAATTGGGATTAACAGGGTAGCGTGGTGCCCCCACCTGTTGTGATCACACATTCTGATTCAGTGTATTAGATTTAACTGAAAGCAGCACAATAATTGAAATTTCTCCAGTATCAAAGAGCAACAGTGAGCAGTTTCTATCATGACTCAAAAATCCATCAAGCCGAACGTGATTTCAGCGTCATCGCCCTGCTGTTCAAGAGCCGCAGCCTCTCACAAGAGCATAAGAAACACCAACATCTCCTCAGGCCGACTGATGTCGCTCAAAGTTAGGCAAAAGTTAGACGACTGGAAACTCAGTCGCTTTCAGATTTGGGTGCGGAAGAGTTTCGCTTAGAGCTTGCATGTGCAGGAGTGTTGAAATAAAGCGTTTTCTACATTTCAAAGATCTGTTACCCGCAGCAAGCGTCACTATATTCAGAAAAAGCTTCAAATCTTGACGGAAGACAGAAAAACAACTTCTGAGCCAAGACAGTGAGCTCTGGAGACTTTTATCTTGAGAAAAAGAATCGGGCGGGGATTGTAACAGCACCTTAGGCATCTATCGTGTTTACATCATCAACTGTGCCATCTAAAACACACTAATGAAAGGAGATGAAATCCCCTTTCATTAGCGTAAAGAAAATGAAAGAGATTGTGAAATCAATTACCCTACACCAACCTCATTCCATAGTCGTGCCTTTATCAGGTTAAGTCTGTATA